GCCTTGTCCTCCGGGCTGGGGCCCGAGCAGCCCGGCCCCGCGGTGATCGCGACTCCCGCGGGCGCCCCCTGCGCGGCGGCGAGTCCTTCTGCCCGCAGGCCCGGTGCGCCGCGCGGGAAGCGACGCCTCCCTCATTGGTGTTTACGCGGAGAGATTCTGAAATGTGCGGTTGCCACCTTTCTCAAGTAGTACCGAGCCACCAGTCCACTTTCCTCCGCTCCGGGCGTGAGCCAGGGAAGGGCCACGGGCAGGGCACTTTGTCGTCTCGGGCTGGCAAACTTGGCTGCATACTGAAATCGCCCGGGCAGCTTTGCAGACGGCCGATGACGCCCAAGCCGCGTCCCAGAGCCGTTAACTCCTCGTCCCTGGGGTGTGCGGGCGAGTTGGAGCACCAGGGTCCCCATATTGGACACCAGACACCCTTGTCCCCATAGTGAGAGGGGTGCCTAGAGCCCTGCACACTTCCCGGGGTTTGAGTGGCCCCCGCCCGGCCCTCCTGTAACCAGTCCACCGGGGGTGGCCGTGTTGGTTTCCATCGTTTGCCAGCTCCAGTTCTTCAAACCTGCAGAACCTAACCCCGGCCCCCCTGCTGAACTTCATTCTGCCTCACCTCCGGGCTAGGCCCAGAGGCGCCTCCCTGTGCCCACCTCGGTTTCCCACCGCCCAAGAGTCCTCTGCGGTGGCCTTTGCTGTCAAGGCTGCTCTGAGTTAAGAGGGGAAAGGGGTGTGCTTGTCAGCAGCCTTGCAGCCCACCTCCAAGCTACAGGACCCTGCTTGCCCAGGCCTGACAGCTGCCTCTCAGGGACAGGAGGACAGAAAGTGACACTTCCTTCAGTCCCATCTCCTAAGGAGAGTTGGTTGTCAGGCTGTGGCCTCACTCCTGGAACCCTCCAGTGTCCTCCTGGACCACCAGCTGAGCTCCCCACCTGCCCCACCTGGCTTCCAGGGTGAGGGTCTTGTGCGGGAGATGAGGCGGTGCCAGTACGTGAGCACCCCTTTCCCAGGAAGGAAAGTGAGGGTCCCCGTTAGCTTAGCCTGTAGGGAGGAGAAATGTGTGCTCCTCCTAAAGAGTAACAGCTTTAGTAAATCGATTCTCTCCCTCTTTACTTTTCTTGAGACAAGGCCTTGCCATGTAGTTCGGGCTACTTGAGTGCACTATTTAGCCCAGGCTGAGGATCTTCCTGTCTCAGCTCGCCAAGTGCTAGGCCAACACCTGGCTTAAGTCTAATTTCGTTTTCCAAAACGTTTTGCAAAATAGTTCTATATGAAATTTTTTAAAAAGCAGGTGGTTACCTGCTTCCAGCCTGGACACTTTGGTCACGTTTGACCACATTCCTGGTAGAAAGGTGGCACCGTGGACACCCAAAGTCATTTTCACCTGTAGTACCTACCCGGGGCCGGGCTCTTGGCAGCGCAAGCAGTGCTTGGGATGACCAGCTGCTCCTCCACGTCTCAGTTTCATCATCTCAGCAGAGATAATCATTCTTGCCCTAACCTGTGAGAGATTGCTGGGGAGATTAGTGTCAGACAACTTGCATGAAATTCATATCCTTGAAACAAAAACCGAGAAGCACATGCGAAGTTTGTGATTAGCAGTTCCAGTCCCTGAAACAAAGCAGCTGTTCTGTTCAGGTCTGTGATGCTGGCGGCTGGGCTCCAGGGCCTGGGCCTGCGGTGGTCTAGGAGGGCGAACTAGTAGCCCGCAGGCAGAAATGGGGGAGAGGTTGCCTCCATGAGTGGGTGGCTGCCGAAGCATGGCTGGTGCCGTCCTTGAGTACCATAGCTGGCAGTGGGCGGGCCGGAAGAAAGAAGCGTGGAATTTGATTCGCTGTCCCCTGGCCCCTCCCCCATGTGCTTGTCCTCATCCAGGCTCTTTTTCCTCTGCACACAGGCTCAAGAATGGGACATGGATGCCCGGCGACCGATGCCTTTTCAGTTCCCACCCTTCCCCGACCGGGCCCCTGTCTTCCCTGACCGGATGATGCGGGAGCCGCAGTTGCCCACGGCAGAGATCTCGCTGTGGACGGTGGTGGCCGCCATTCAGGCCGTGGAGCGAAAGGTGGATGCCCAGGCCAGCCAGCTGCTCAATCTAGAGGGCCGGACAGGGACGAATGAGAAAAAGATCGCCGACTGCGAGAAGACGGCCGTGGAATTCGGCAACCACATGGAGAGCAAGTGGGCCGTGCTGGGCACGCTGCTGCAGGAGTACGGGCTGCTGCAGCGGCGGCTGGAGAACCTGGAGAACCTGCTGCGCAACCGCAACTTCTGGGTGCTGCGGCTGCCCCCGGGCAGCAAGGGCGAGGCCCCCAAGGTAGGTGCCAGGCCCGGGAGGGACGGCGGTGAGGGCTGCACAGGTGACAAAGCCCGCAGTTTGTCATCAGGCCTGGTAGCCTCCTCGGCTCTCTGATGTCTCATTCATTGTCTTCGCGAGCCGTGTCTTCCTGTGGTGAATGTTCCTTGCCAGCGCAGCTGGTCCCCCACACCCGGCAGAGCCCGTGTGGCTCGTCCTGGAGCCTGTGCCCTCTCTGCTGCACAACCTGTGGCTCTTACCTGCTTGTTTTCCCCCTTGACACCACCCAGTCAACATTTGTCATGGGTGGCCATTGTCATCTCTGTGTACACTGTCCAAGCTGCGCGCAGCTGGGCGCAGACCCTGCACTGCTTGCGGTCACGCCCTGCCCACAGCCTCAGGTGGCCCCATCTAGAGGCCAGAAGTCCATCCCCCTTTCTGGCTCAGCCGCACACCCGCTGGCCCCATTCTTGCCCTGTGGGTCCTTCTTGCCTTTCTGTAGTCAGGCATATACCAAAGGAGGTGGCGTAGAGTCCTGCCCTCAAGGTTCCCTCCTGAGCCCCACAGTTAGCAGCCCTCGGCTGATTCCCTCACCATTCCTGTTTCATTTTGAAGCAGATCGAAGACGTCAATCATTTTATTCACGAATAATTCAGTATTAGCTCTAAAAGGTACAAAGATTTCAAAAATATAACAACCTCAACCTCAATGTATTAGCATCGCTGCCGCCATGCTAAAAGGCCCACCTTGACTCAAGCATTTGCCGGATGTTCACATTTTCAGTTTTTTGTTTTGTTTAGTTTGACTGAAGATTAAATAAGGTCCACAAATTGTAATTGATATGTCTCATGCCTTTTTTTTTTTTTTTT